GTACGTACTTACTACTAAAGTAACTACTATTTACGTTTAACTTAACGTACGTACGTAAGAAGGTAGTAGTAGACGACGCGTTGTTGTAGTACTATAACTTACTCTCTCTCTCTCTCTCTCTCTCTCTCTCTCTCTCCTATTGTTTTGCTGTAGCACTTCATGAGGCATGGTTTGTGCACACTTTCAGATAGATCAGAAGCTGCTGATATTACAGTGGCTATGTTTCCTCTTGTGTCCCAGGTTCAAGAGAGCAACAATGGCAGGGAGCATATCCTCCCCAGCATTGTTCAACTTGGCTTTTGCTTGCTTGAATCCTTAGAAGATGGAAATGGTAAAGGAGATAGTGCCTGTGATCCTAATGCTTTGATGGGCATCGAGGAGCTAGGCATGCAAACAATCAAGACCCTGTTTGAAGTCCACGACATGGCAAGAAATGAGGTTGGTTTCATCTGCTAAACTCCCAAAACCTATCTTTCTCTATCTAACAATCCTGTTAATCATTTTGACTAAGAACAAGTACCCTGTGACTTATTGATTTCAATAATTCTTTCCAGATCATTGAGCAATGCAAGTTCCGTATACTCTCTCTCAAACCTCAACAAAGTGTATCAATCATCAAGTAATTGCTTATCATAGTTCCAAGGATTTCACCCTTCTTTTCTTGTTTAGTTGATGATATTTTTTTGTATTTGTCTTTGTAGACTACTTGGGCGACTGGTTCAGAGTAACCCTTACCCCATGCTCGAGCATGTTTCCCGCTTGAAGGAGTTGTTGGACTATTTCTCTTTCATGCATTTGAAAACTTCTACTTCTCTCATTGCTGCTCTATTGCCCCTTGCGAAATACAGTCATGATCTCCAGGTACCACTTCTAAAGCACATCTAAGGAACATATGCCAGGCACAATCTGGTATATACTATATGGTACACAGAAAGGACATCCTTGTACATTCTTAGAAACATATGGTGGATACAGCACCGCTTCCCAATGGACATCCACCAGGCTGCGGTTGATATTCACCGTCTGTCATTGAGAATGGACGGATACCATGCTGTTTGTCAATAATAACATACACAAGTGGTGTATATTATATTCCCCTTTTTCCGATGATGTTTCATTTCTGGAAGAGATTTGCATCAGGGGGTGCAAAAGTTGCTGATGTGAAAGTATTATATGACAGAGATATATTGTTCTGGTTGTGAGGAAAGCTGTGTTCAAGAGAGAGGATACAGTTCGTATTGCTTCGATTGATGCTATCATTAAATTGATGTTGGAAAGTTCCTCGAAAAATGAACCCGATTCTCTTCAGCAGTTTTCCAGCCAAGCTAGTTGCAGTCAGCAAGCTGAGTTACCCAATGGCATTGGAGTGGGTCTCTTTCAAGAGATGCGAGGATTACTTCGAAGATGCCTGAGCCAACAAGTATTCATTCTGCCTCTCTCTCTCTCTC